GAAAAAAACCGTTCCTAAGCGCTGGTTATCAAAAAGCGCGGCTCGATTTTTGCAAGAAACACGAAGACTGGTCCGTCGAAGAATGGTCAAAGGTAATTTGGTCAGACGAATCGCGGTTCCAAATTTTTGGCTCGGATGGGAAGCAGTATTACTGGAAGCGTCCCGAGGAACCGTTAAACCGCTTCCACGTACAACCAAAAGTGAAGCATGGGGGTGGCTCCGTTATGATCTGGGGTTGCTTTACGTCCCGCGGCGTTGGAGGGTTTTGTAAAATCGACGGTACGATGGATGGTGAGTTGTACCGGCTGATACTTCGCGACGACCTTCTGGGAACCGTGAGGAATCACGGATTTAGGGCGCGGGATATAATTTTTCAGCAAGATGGTGCCTCTTGCCATACTGCAACCTTAACCAAACGTTGGTTTAGAAGGAATGGGATTAAAACCTTCAAGTGGCCTCCCGCGTCCCCCGATCTAAATCCGATCGAACACCTGTGGGCCGAAGTCGACCGTCGCTTGAGAAGGCTCCCCGGCAATATTTCGAGTGAAAAAGACCTCTGGGAGAAAATTCAGTTGGTGTGGGAGCAGATCGATCTTGAGACCTGCACGAACTTGATTCGTTCAATGCCAGAACGAGTTCGCGACGTTATTAGGGCTCGGGGCGGCTATACTAGGTGGTAAACGTGTGGGGGAATTAAATAGAAAAAAAAAAAATTGTTTTTTTAGTGTACAAAAAAATTTTTGTATTTTATGTTCGTGCTGTTGTAAAAACGAGCAAAAGAGATGCAGCACGTGAATTCAAATAAAGCTCGTGCATCTAAAAAATCTTATTGATTAATTTTTTAAAAAATTTTTATTGATGAAAGAGATAGTATTTACAAATAAAAAAAAAAAAAAAGTAAAAGGATACACGCGGAATTGCGCGAGAAAATTCGATCTAACGAATTTTTTTTTTTTGATGCATTATTTATGATCGCCAGTGTATAAGATATAGATACATACGTACTATCAAAGCCCAACAATAGCAAAGTAGTACCGTATAACAAGTTATAGCCAAATATATATATATATTTTAATGGCATCTGCATATTGGTACTTTTTTTAATATTATTAATAATAAAAAAGATTTCAATAAATAGACAGGTTCTCTCCACAATTTGGATATATTATTTGATTCGCCTTTTGAACAATCTTCACTCAAGAAAAGACTTCCATTCTAGAAACACTAAACACTAAAGTTACCCACTCTAATAAAATAGAATTCCAAGACCCATCGCTTATAAAAACAACAAAATAATAAAAAAAAAAAGTAAAATAAAAAAATATAATTTCTGTTTGCATGGACTTATTATTAAAATGCTGTTCTTTTATTGCACCAATTTATATTAAAATGCCTATTCTTTTATTGCATCAATTTATATTTAACACTCGCTCCATTTCACATTTTATATTTATTTTCAATAAAAAGTTTTATTCACGTGGTTTGTATATTTGAAATCAACCTTTTTTTTAACTATAAATAGAATTCTCTATGTACATTTTTTTTATGATGAAAAAAAATGCTAAACTTACTTAGTGCTTTTTCTTTTTTTTCATTCTTAATACCAACCCCCTAGATATATAAGCATAATTTACTTTTTATTTACACAAATGAATCTCTTACAATAAACATGGATTTAGAACGCAAAAATTGAAGCTATACTATAGTGTTTAAACTCAATGTGATTAAATATGCAGAAGATACCTCTAATCACTGTGCTGCAAAATTTTATAATGTGATAGAAAACAAGTTCAGGAATGGAGAAAGCAAAAAGAAAACCTCAAACCTGTCAAAAACAAAGAGCAAGTATGTGCTTTCAAGGGTTGTGGTCAAAAGGCCAACCCTATAAGAAAAATGTACTATAATTGTATGGGTTGGCTCGGAATGGCACAGATTTCAGTGGCACGGGTCAAACCCAGTGTTGGAAATCATATGTTCTCATGTTCTCATGAGAACAACCTTTTAGATTTGAGAATATTTGATATTGTATATATGTTCTCTATGAAAAAACATGATGCTGAAAAAGCATGTTCTTTAAGTTTAATAGCAAAATTCCAGATGGAAATAGAAATTCTAAATTTATCCAAAAGGAAAATGAATGAACATAAAATATGAGAAGGGTTGAGATAAAAATTAGAACAAATGTCTGATAATTTCCAAAAATAGGGATATCAATAATTTTAGCAATTAAATATTGAGAACATAAATAAAATTTTGAGAACACTAAATCAAAGAACATAAATTTCAAAACAGATTTCCAACACTGGTCAAACCTGGGTTTTGTATATAAGAGGCTCAAAGTGGCTTGGATTTTTGGCTTGTGTCAGTCTGTATAACAATGCAATTAAACCACTAATAACTCAGGCTTTGCAACACTTTACTAGTCCAATTAGTATGGGTTTTGGTATAGACATATGTAAATTCACGTACTACAATAAAAACATAATTTACTTCAATTATCATTAATATAATATATATTTAAAAATTAAAGTAATTGCATATGTGCAAGGAATATTTTTTGTTAAAATACCCAAAACAATTTAATTAGTGAAATTTTGAGATATTGCATTTTTTTCATAAAAAAACACTTACTGATTCTTTGCTCTTGAGACATGTGCAAATATGTATCATTCAATACAACCACTTTTCTGTAATGTCTGTACTATTTTTAACTATACTATCACGTAAAATGAGTCACTACATGCCACATATCCATGCCATTTCATGCATTTCAAAAACCAATCTGAGCCACAACCTGGACCACTTTTCTCATAAAGCAAGTACCCTGTACTGAAAAATAAGCTATTAGATTATATCAAGCAAAGAAGTAAGAAAAAGCAAGCTATTACAATATTTATAATTAGGAACAAAGCTAAAGAGTTAGGACAAACTCTTGGTCTTGAAGATGCTAAGTAGGTCGTATATTTTAAAATTGATACAACCTAGTAAAATGAGCTCATATACAAATTGCACAAAAGTTTCTAGAGAAAATATTCTTTATTGTTAAGGATTTTCTTAAAACTGCACATGAAAAGACTCAAAATTTTGAAAAAATTTATATTATTTCTTTTGATGAAATATCTATGTAGTTTGACATACCAAGAAATTTGATAATTGAGTTTGAAGGTGTTCACGAAATGTTTATTAAAACTATAGAAAGTAATAAAGTATAATTTACTGTAGTTCTAGATTATATGGCTTCTGGTGACAAGCTTCTGCTAACCATAATTTTCAAACTTAAAAACAAACCAAAGAGAAGGTTTCTATAAGTTATTGTAGTAGCAATAGCATTCTATGCAAATATAAAAGGAGATTTGATAGTTTCTACCTATATTCCATAGGTTATTAGAGTACAACCAAATAATTTTTTTAAAGATAAAGGTGTAATTTTTGTTGACCATTATTGTAGACATATATATAAAGATGTTATTAAAGCATTGAATCTTGAGGGCTTAGATGTTTTAGAGATACCTGGTGAAACAACTAGTATTTTACAACTACCTGATATCTCAGCAAATAAGCCTTTTAAAAGTGGTATATGAAAATAATAAGAAGAATGGATGGAAAAAGGAAAAAAAAAACTTTACCAAAAATAGCAATTGCAAAAAGCACTATATAAGCTTGTTTGTAAATGGATTTCACAAACATTGAAGGTATATTTGCATTAGTTCATCTTTTACTAATTTTTTTGTATCTTTATTATGGCATTTAAATTATAAAAAATTATATTAAATTATTGTGTATTCAAAGTTACAATTATATGAAATTCTAATTTACAAATTAACTTACTTGAAGAAAATTAGTAAAGAAGTTCTAATTAAATTCTTTGAATTGACTAAACTTACTCTAAACCCCAATAGTAGCAAAGACAATAAAATGTACACCATTTACAAGCAATTGTTGAAGACAGAATGAATGAGATTGACAAGTTATTAAGTGAAAAACAAGATAAAAATATGATGGATATAGATGTGTACAATGATACAGATAATAATATAATAAATGCAGATAAGAATAAATATATGGACATAACAGATAATGAACATTTTGGTAAGTATGCAAAATATTCTACATTTATTAAATATTACTTTGCTGTTTATCAAATATTACTTTGCCATTAAAATTAATCCACACATCAGAATACTTTGACTAGGCAATAAATAGATAGTTCTTAGCTCATTAAACTAATAAGAATTTCTGAAATAGAAAAGAATTTTTTAGTGAAACAAAAAATCAAAAGTAAGTGCCTGCAATCAATTTTAAGAAATTAGTTACCACTTGTAATGGAATTGTCATTAATTCAATTATGTACAGCAATAGTAACAGGGTTAATTACATACAATGCGAGGATTAAATAAATATATAAACAAATATATAAGGGGAAGACATTGTTAGAACAAGAGTTTTGGCCTGACCCCTTATGCACAACAATAAATATTAAGACTTTTTTATAGCCAAGAAAGGCAGTTGTGATATCATAATGAATATTTAATAAACATATTTAGTAACATAAATAATAAGTAACAAACATTGTTTTTACAACAATAGTTACACCACTTATCTAATATTTTTCAAGTTTATTTCTGTCTTTTCAAGAAAACTTCTATTAAAAATGTATAAAAAAATGTTAGTTTATATCTAAACAAATAATGTCTTTTAATAAATACAAAACTTTTAATTGATACAACTTAATATAAAATGTTTAAATTACTAGCTGCCTTAAATTCTATACATTAAAGACTAAAGGGACATTGTATAGTAAAATAAATGTATTTTCTATAAATAACTTCTATGAGCACTTATTAAATCTTGTCTTTCATAAATGCACTTTCTCTTGCTAGTAATATTCTCTAAGTACATATGTTAGAGCCAGGATTTAAAATTGGTATACACAAGATGCACATGTACATGTGTTTTTTTTGGAATTTTTTGGATTTTTAAAAAATCTTCTAAGTGTGCATGTAATGCTTTTTAAAAAGGTGCACAAAATACATTTGTGCACGAGAATTTTTTTTTTGAATTTTAAACACTGGTTAGAGCTTAGTGGGTGCATTTAGAAATCTGACTATATATATGAGTATGTGAATATGTAAATAGTGAATGCATGATTTTGTGAATGCGTGTATGTGTATATGTGTAAATGCAATAAAGAAACATGTGTTATAGTCAATTAAGTAAATTACTATTTATATAATGTGATCCAATATGAATATATAATGGGGTGCACATTATTTCAGAGACATGCATAGGCATTATTTCAAAACCAGATATGAAATTTTTAGGGGTCATGATTTTTGAATTAATGCCCTTGCTTGCTATTTCAAGAATTTATAGTATAATACAAAAAGTGTCTTAACGTTGAGTTTATATAGATAATAATGTAGATGCCAACCAAATTTTGAGTTTGATTTTATTAATAGTATCAAAACACCATTTTTAAAATAAGGTACTTTAAAAATTTTTAGCATAAAAAGAAAAAAACATAGGTAGTATAAAAATATGAGATAATAAATTTTTTTTGTTATAAAAAGAATACCAATTAAATTGTAAGATATAAATGTTATCTTATAGATAAAAACTATCTTTTTTCACAAAGCATATAGATCACTACAAATTTTATGCTGCAACTTGCAGATCTTTTAATTAAATCATTACTCTGAAAAATTTTTGACATTATATTTGACTGTTGAAGTACTATAAAATTGATTAATAGTATAGATACTCTGATATGTGGATTATTAGTAGAACCTAGTAAACTTTTGACTGTTAAATTATTGCTTCTGGAATAAATATTCAATAACAGATATTAAATATACATACATAATTTAAGATCAGGTGAATAACATAAATATTACAGCATTATAAAACTATATATTGATATGCATATCTCTGCTTGAATACAGAAATATGAAACTTTCAAACCATTTTCACTAAAGGATAATCATTCGAAGATTGCCAAAAACTTAGGTGTTAGCAAGTCCTCTATAAGTTAGGTTCCAAAGCACTTTTAAAAATATTGAAAAACTTCAATCACTTTCAAGAAAACCATGTTCACTAAAGACAAATGATATAAAATATATTTAAAACCTTAACAAAGAAAAACTAGTATTTTATGAACTACAATCCGAAATGGTATAACAATTTAAAAAGGTATACACTAACTAGATATATATATAAGAAAGTATTTTATATATGTTTATATATTTTATTTTATTAATTTATATCTGTGCTTTTATATTATTAAGATTTATCAGCTGACAAAAATAATCTTTTTTATAAGTTTCCATACAAACTAAACACAATAAACGTGTCGGGCAAGTATTTAAACGAAAATTTAATAACTTTGAATGTATCGATATTATAATGATGAAATTATATATTTTTTAAATACTGATTATGTCAAAATCATTAATTTAGCCGGATCGGCCAAAAAATCATTTGGCAAATTTATCAGATATCTCAAGAATACCAGGAATGTTGTCATGCTTGCATAATGGAGTGTAGCTATCTAGAATGGTATAAACAAATTCCTGCATTTGATTGGGTGTTAAAAAATCTAAGATTTCACATGTTACTGTTCTTTGTTAGTATAACATATTACTACTTAAGCAGGGTACCATGAAATGATTAACAGAAACAGATCCAATTTCGTACAATCAATAAATATTATTTTATATGCAGCAATGAGAAAAAGTTCACCTACACCAACAATCGCTAACTTAGCTATTAACAGGCCAAATTCACGACCCAACCATCCATCATCTTCATAATTATAATTGCTGAATATTATTATCACCGACCGTCTTACATTATGCATGAGAACCAAGCCAGTGCTAATTAATTGCTATTAATGTGCCTTGTAAAACTATTAACTTAAATAAGTCAAAGGTTTCTGAATGACTTTTCAAAAGCAATAATCACTAAACCTAATAAAGATAAAGAATGCCATAGAAAATGCAATTGGTGACAGCCCACAATTTGACCCAATCCTCCCTCCCAAAGAAATCATATTATTTTCACAAATATAATTACTGACTATCACTATCATCTGTTTTTTTGATGGCTGGCCTACGTTATGAGATCAGGAAACTGCTGGCTAGCACTAAGCTGTACAAACTGCTTATAGTTATCCTGGCACAATATTATTGCTTTTCTGGAAGCATATCCTGCTTCAGTTTAAATAACACACAAATCACATTTAATTGAAGCTGCCAGTTTTATAATTATAACTGCTGAATATCAATATCATATGTTTAAATTAAGGCAGGCCTGTATTACACAAGTAGGAAACTGCCGGCCAGTACTAATGCACAAACTCAACTGCTTACAGTGATCTCCCGGCGCAATATTATTTGCTATTTCTGGAGCATATCTCATTTCTATGTATTTCAATAATGCATAATTTGCAACTAATATAATCTGCATTCAACAAATAAAATTAAACTCTGGTGTTCAGACTAAATAATTTTAATATGAGAAACATATGTGCAATGCTTTTTGTTCTACATTATTTAAGAATACATACCTCATTCTCATATGAATAAAAAATTGGTAAAAATGTACAGGATGCTCATGACGGACGATGATTTTATAATAAGAGAAATTTTTTTCTAAAGAATTAAATTCTAGAAAAAAAAAACTTTATTTATAACAATAAATAATATCTTCTAATATAAATATATACAGTATAATATTTCTGATTCAAGCACAACTACGTTGCATACCTAATTAGTAATAATAATATTTGAGACAAAGTTTTCACTTATTCACATATAAATCAGGATATTATTCATTACAGCTTTTTTCATAAATTCTAGGTCAAAAAATTTGCCAAATTCAATAAGTTATTTATCTCAGTTATACAACAAATATAAATTTACAATGTTTAAGATTTTGAATTCGTCAAAATATGATACTTTCAAAATATATTCATTTGAAAAAAGTAGTTAAAAAGAGCCTAGAAGGCTCGTCAGTTAGAGTAATTGCTAAACACTTGGGTGTTAAATAGGTCGAATTCTCAAACAATTTCAAAAGTATGGCAGTGTTGAAGAATTACCATTACTTTAAATAAATATTAAGAGGTTTCAGAATTAAAAAAAATAGTGTATTTCAGAAATAAATAAAAGTTAAAAAAATCTTATTTGTGTATCAAAATTTTGAAATCAGAAAATAAAATAGGAGTGTTTAGAGACTCCTATTTGACGAAATAAATAAAATTTTTATTAAGAGACCAACAAACTATTTAATAACAAAATACAGAGTAATAATAAAACTTTTTGCTCAAATTACTTACTGAACCTTTGCTCAAATTACTTATTAAACCTTTGTTCAACTTATTATTTTTTATATAACTAAACCTTCGCTCAAATTGTTTACTAAAACTCGCTCAAATTATTTATTGAGCCTTTGCTCAAATTATTTACTAAACCTTCACTTAAGGTATTTTTTATACAACTTACTAAACCTTTGCTCAAATTATTTACTAAACCTTTGCTCAAATTATTTATTGAACCTTCACTCAAATTGCTTATTAAACCTTTGTTAAAATTATTTTTTTATAACCTTCGCTCAAATTATTTATTGAACTTTCGCTCAAATTACTTACTGAACCTTCACTCAAATTACTTACTGAACCTTCACTTAAAGTATTTTTATTACTAACTTACTAAACTTTCATTTAAATTATTTACTAAACTTTCGTTCAAATTACTTATTGAACTTTGCTCAAATTTTTTACTAAACCTTTGCTCAAAATTTGCTTAATAAACCTTTACTTAAAGTATTTTTTATTTAACTTCTAAACCTTTGCTCAAATTATTTTTTATATAGCTTGAAAAAAATTGCTCTTTCAGATATTGATTCAGTTCTATAATTGCATTAATTTAAATAGTTCATCAATTCCTTTATCCAGAACTTTAACAATAGCCTTATTAGTGCTAGTTGAGTATTCGGTTATAAGTGTTTTTAAAAGATTGTTTAATTTGCCATGTTAAGCATAAAACGGTATTAGAAGCAGTATTGATTAACAATTTATAATAGGGAAGATCATGTAAATAAGTGTATTCAAATTTTATTTAAAAAATAAATAAGACAATTGTTTCAAAATAAATATTATCTTATTTTATCAAAATAAGTTTTATGAAGTTTAATTCTAAAACCCCTTATTATACATACTTCAAACTTTATTATAATTATTAAGACATCATTTGCAAGTATTAATAAATCTTGATCTCTTATTTCAACTTGTGCTGTATTTTTTTCAAACCAGTTGACTACTCCAGATTAATTTAATATATATATATTTATTAGTGCCTACTTGTGTAATATGGGGTGTTATGCATTAAAAAAATAAAAAGTCAAATTTTCAAAAATTTAAATACTGTAAATTCTTGAAATAACGCCCATAACTGCTAT